GCTATGTCTGACAAAGAGTACCGAGCAGCGCGCATAGACAACGGATTCTGGAACTTGAGAACAAGATCAAGCATTCACAGAAGGAACTGGAAGCGGCGCGGAAGACAACACAAATGCATAGGGGCGCGCTGGGCTCTGAGGAGTACCGCAAATTGGAGAAGGCGAACGAGAGGCTGCGGGATGAGAACGAGGAACTACGAGACGAGAATGAGGAGGTGAAGGCGATGGTGGAGGTGCTGAAGGGGCAGGTAAGCGGAAGACAAGGACTGGTGTCCTCGGCCAGAGCATCGCCTACGTGAGCCAGTGTACAATGGACGTAGACATAGGAAGCCAAATGCGGAAGGCGCTGTAGAACGTCGTGGAAGGCGTCCGAATCTTCGCGGCGAGGACACGGGCGTCTGTCCGCATTTGCAGCAGAATCGAGGATCGAAGGTTCTCGAACGGCCACTGCTGCAGGATACATAAACCCGCCTCTTCAGATCGTTCTTCCCCAACTCGTTTCATCGTCGCACTCATCCCCATCTCCCCCCTCCCCCTCACGAACCGTACGCACAAAAATGGCATCCGAGAGCTTTGGCTTCCAGGCCGAGATCAGCCAACTGCTCGACCTGATCATCAGTGCGCACTCCGTCTTTTTCGCGTTTGTGGACGCGCGTCGATCTGACTTTCTTTCGCGCAGACACCTTCTACTCCAACAAAGAGATCTTCCTCCGTGAACTCATCTCCAACGCGTCCGATGCCCTCGACAAGATTCGGTATGCGTCCCTCACGGACCCTACCGTCCTCGACTCGGGCAAGGATCTCTTCATCCGCATCACCCCCGACAAGGAGAACAAGATCCTCACCCTCCGCGATACCGGTATCGGCATGACCAAGGCTGACCTCGTCAACAACCTTGGTACGATCGCGAAGTCCGGCACGAAGGTAAGCAGAAAACGCGTGTGGCGTCGACGCGCCGAGCGCTAATCCGTGCTTTTGTAGGGCTTCATGGAGGCGCTCCAGTCTGGCGCCGACATTTCCATGATTGGCCAGTTCGGTGTCGGTTTCTACTCTGCGTACCTCGTCGCCGAGCGCGTGCAGGTCATCTCGAAGCACAACGACGATGAGCAGTACATCTGGGAGTCTGCCGCCGGTGGCACCTTCACCATCACCCCCGACACCATCAACCCCCCTCTCGGGCGTGGTACCGAGATCCGTCTCTACCTCAAGGAGGACCAGCTCGACTACCTCGAGGAGAAGCGGATCAAGGAGATCGTCAAGAAGCACTCCGAGTTCATCTCCTACCCCATTCAATTGGCGGTCACCAAGGAGGTCGAGAAGGCAAGTATCGCAGTAACGTTTTCCTGCGCGCCGTCGCTAACATATTATACAGGAGGTTGAGGACGATGAGGAGGTGAAGGATGACAAGGAGGAGTCCAAGATCGAGGAGGTCGAGGACGACGAGGACAAGAAGGACAAGAAGAAGAAGACGATCAAGGAGAAGCAGATCACGAACGAGGAGCTAAACAAGACCAAGCCTCTCTGGACGCGGAATCCCTCGGAGATCACCCCCGAGGAGTACGCCGCGTTCTACAAGAGCTTGACGAACGACTGGGAGGAGCACCTCGCGGTCAAGCACTTCTCCGTCGAGGGCCAGCTCGAGTTCAAGGCCATCCTCTACGCGCCCAAGCGGTGAGTTTCTGGAGCTATCGTCGCCATTTTAGAGCACCCAACTGATCTTGTCGTTCAGGGCACCCTTCGATCTCTTCGAGTCGAAGAAGAAGCGCAACAACATCAAGCTCTACGTTCGCCGCGTCTTCATCATGGACGACTGCGAGGACCTCATCCCCGAGTACCTCAACTTCATCAAGGGTATCGTCGACTCCGAGGACTTGCCTCTCAACATCTCGCGTGAGACGCTCCAGCAGAATAAGATCCTCAAGGTCATCCGCAAGAACCTTGTCAAGAAGTGCCTCGACCTGTTCACCGAGATTTCGGAGGACAAGGACAACTTCAACAAGTTCTACGAGTCGTTCGGCAAGAACATCAAGCTCGGTGTCCACGAGGATGCCCAGAACCGCAGCAAGCTCGCCGAGTTCCTGCGCTTCTACTCGACGAAGTCCACTGAGGAGATGACCTCGCTCAAGGGTAAGTACTTTGTGATCTTGCTACTACGTCCCCGTTGCTGACCGTTCTTTCAGACTACATCACTCGCATGCCCGAGGTCCAGAAGAACATCTACTACCTGACCGGCGAGTCGCTCTCCGCCGTGAAGGACTCTCCGTTCCTCGAGGTCCTCAAGAAGAAGGGCTTCGAGGTCCTGCTCCTTGTCGACCCCATCGACGAGTACGCGATCACGCAGCTCAAGGAGTTCGACGGCCACAAGCTCGTCTGTGTCTCGAAGGAGGGCCTCGAGCTCGAGGAGACCGACGAGGAGAAGAAGGCGCGCGAGGAGGAGGCCACGCAGTTCGAGGATCTCTGCAAGGCTGTCAAGGAGGCGCTTGGCGACAAGGTCGAGAAGGTCGTCGTCTCGAACCGTATCACCGACTCCCCCTGTGTTCTCGTCACCGGCCAGTTCGGCTGGTCGTCGAACATGGTACGTTGCTCCGCCCCGTTTTCATCGTCAATGAGGTTGCTGACTATTGCGTACAGGAGCGTATCATGAAGGCGCAGGCCCTCCGTGACTCTTCGATGTCATCGTACATGGCGTCGAAGAAGACGCTCGAGCTCAACCCCCACAACCCCGTCATCAAGGAGCTCAAGCGCAAGGTCTCCGAGGACAAGGCGGACAAGTCCGTCCGTGACCTCACGTACCTACTCTTCGAGACCGCCCTCCTCACTTCCGGCTTCTCGCTCGACGACCCCACGTCGTTCGCGAAGCGCATCCACCGCATGATCGCGCTCGGCCTCGACGTCGATGAGGACGAGGAGTCCGCGCCCGCGGCGTCGTCGAGCACGGAGGCCCCCGTATCGACGGAGGCCGCGTCGAGCTCGGCGATGGAGGAGATCGACTAGGGGACTCGTCCAGGACGTTTGCGGGGCTAGCGTAGATCTGAGAAGACGTTCCATTTCCGTGTAATTTGTATCATAGGTTCATGTCGGGCATTGCTGTCTTGTTGCATCTCACGATCACTCTCATGCTTACTATAGTAGCATCGCATTGAATCCATTTCTTTGCTCTCTCACATTGTGCGTGTACGGGGTAGTAGTAGTTAGGCCGCGACTTGAGGATCCGGACATCTCGCACTTATGATGGTGGTATGCGCAGCGCGTTGTCGACAAATACTGGCGGTTCGCAGATTGATATGTATGTTACACTTCTCCTATCCGTTTCTACAGTTACTTGTGGCTCTTCGCCACATCTACTTCTTCCTGGAGACGACGAGGAACGTCTGGTAGGGATACTCAAAGATGCCCTTCTCCTGATCAATCCAAACAAGCCCGTCCTTGCGCTCCAGAAGAGCATCAATATCGTCCACGAGCTTCTTCTTGTCCTCCGGGCCGAGCACCGCGATGTAGCTCTTGCTGTGCGCGCGGTTGACGACGATGTCACGCGTGCCGGGCAGCACATAGTCCCACACGTTCTCCTCCTTCGGCTCGAAGTTCGCGACGTACGAGGGCGTGTCAAACGTCGCGCGCCACAGCCCGAGGCGGAACTGCGGCGTGCCGCCCTCGTGCTGCTCGTAGCGGGCGCGTAGCTGGGCGACCCACGCCGCACGGTTGCTGGTGACGGTGGGATGGGATGGTCAGCACCTGAAGCCGCCACCGCAACAGGTAGGCACGTACCGGTCCTCGAGGTTCCAGATGAAGGCGACGATGCCCTGCGGCTTGAGCACGCGCGCGAATTCCGCGACAGCCTTGTCATAGTCCGGGCACCAATGGAACGCCTGCATCAAGCAGAGAAGCACTCAGTTAGAACACGAACACGGCGGCACACGGAGCGGGATGCTGGTATCCGTACCTGCGCGATGACGACGAGGTCCGCCCATCCATCTTCGATGCCGGTGGTGTCGAACGTCCCCTCTTGGGCGGAGACACGCGGATCGTTGACGGTCTCCGTGAAGACCTTGCGCATCCCCTCGCTGGGCTCAATTGCGCGCAGCTCCTTGATAGAGTTCGCCCAATCGGGGTGCGCGAGCAGGGCGCGGGTGAAGATGCCAGTGCCCGCGCCGATTCTGTCGGACGAAGGGGACGGAGGTCGGTGTCTGCACGCACGATCAACCTGATCTGGTTGCTCACTCGACTATGTTGAGGGGTGGGGAGCCCCTGACGGCCTGGCGGATGTGCGCGAGCGCATTGGCCTGGTACGACGGCCGCGCACTGCGTTTGAATGGCAAACTATGAACACATCCGATGTCCAGATCGAGAAAGCATCCTACCGGTCGTAAAGTTCGTTCGTGCCAGTGCCGAAACCCTCCTTGGCTACTGCGTGGACTGTGTGCGACATCGCTCGTCGGATGACTTGTACGGTGGACTTGTAGGTGGTATCTTGCGGAGTCCTGTAGCTCGCTAGAGCAGATATGGAGCGTATGTTGAGGATGCAGGCTGTATATATACTGCCCACTATCGGCCGACGGGACGCGCTGAAGGCCGCATATCCCACCATCATGAGAGGCGCTGTGCAAGAATCACGACAACCCCGCACGCCAAATTTGGCAACGGTGCCGATCGGCAGTCTTGACTAGGACTCGGAGTGAGTCGCTGTGTGACCACGCGATGTATTTCTGGTGCAACTTCTAGTCGTTCACTCCATCGCAAGGCCACTGATCATGCTATTTGCGACTGCAGACGGCGCGAAGGGTCCGAGGGTTTGAGTCATTACTATCAGAACTGCCAACTATACTTTACCAGTGCCGACTCGAATATTTAGACGCCAAGAGACACATGCATGCATGTGAACGCTCGCACCGGGCACATGGCCATGCTCATTTACGTACGCTCCATAGAATGACTCCCGCTCTCTCTGCCTCGAATGTTGGACGATGTGCAGGAATCAAATAAACAAAAAAAAATCATTAGAACGACACAAGTAGGACTTGAACCTACGCTCGGAAACCGAAACAGATGGTACGAGTTAATTCGAATCTGTCGCCTTAACCACTCGGCCATTGTGTCATGTTGACAAGCAGCCCACACAACATTGTAGCTATCTCGGGCGCTTCTTCACGGGGCTTGCCGAGGCGTTCAGTATTGCGCGCTTGCAGCGCGTTTCGTACTCGTTCACGTCCACGACACTACTTTACAACGTACGTGCGGCAGAAGCGGAAAACCACGCTGCCATCTTGCTTGATCATCTGGTTTCTCAAACAGACCCTCCAACGCTGACCCTAGTCGAGACAATGAGAACTAGGGACGAGGTAATTATTGCAACGCACAGTCCTAGTACTTGCTCGTACATATCTCACAACTTGGCACTGTTGGCAGCGTAGGGAATGCTCTCTGGATCGCTCTCTTTAATCTCCGTGTGGCCAGTGCGTGCAGCAGCGGCGCAGCCTGGTTTATGTTTGAGATCGTGACAATTCGTCATACCGCAGCAGTGTGCAGCTCGCGTCCTCGACGCTCATTGGGCGAGCTTATTTCCATGGACTCGAGCGCACCGGACGTCTCGGGCAATAATCGGCCTTCCAGCCAACCAGCAAAGAGTATGGTCAGTGCTTCTATCATCATGGTCATCGGAATACAGCGCTGGCTTGCTGATGGTTGGCGTGTAGCTTTGACAGGAAAATGATGTATCTCTGCATCCTGTCGGGCGTGGCGGCGCACTGCTATGTCTAGCAATGTCCTGATGCATGCATCACTTACATGGGTCAAATCCCACCTGCGATCGTTCTATTCCCACTTCTCCACCCTCAATGTGCGTATCTAATGAAGCAGAATGCGTCCGTACAGGACGTGAAGAACTTGAACATATCACATGTGCTCATACGCGGAGCACGCAGTTCTGAATGAGTGTGTGTAGGGAACGGCGTTCTCTCACAGGCCATGGCAGGAGCCTGACACGGAATATCAAACTGCTTTGACGGCGATGCTCTGTAGCGTACCCCTCAGTCGGTCCTCCAGTCTAGGGAACCAACAACAGTGGCACTGCTTATGGGTACTTAAGCAAACGAACTCACCCGTACTTCTCATAGACGTCTTTGTCTTTTCACCCTCCTCCCGCAGCGCGGCATGAACGCGACGACGGACGGCTCCGACTCCCAGTGGGAGCAGGTGGAGGAATTCGTGGACGTGATGGTTCAATAGTGAGTACTAGGGCCTGCAACATCCCGCGTCACGAGCGTACATGACCTCCTCACACTAGCCGGTTAATAAATTATGTGAACTTGGCTGTGTTCGGTAAGTGTTGGATTTCGATACTGTTCCAGGTCGGACTAATCAGCTCTTCAGTCGTCTTTCTTTTCGAATATCTTATTACCATCGATTGCGAAGTTCGCCTTGCCTGGGGCCGTAAACTTTCGTGGGCTAGGGTTATCTGCTTGCTCAACCGATACATCGCTCTTTTTCTCTATCTTTTGTCCCTGGTTCCTTTACTTCCAACTGGCAATCTCATTGT